ATACTGCAGGGCACTCCAGCCCTTCCATCAATAGGGTATGAGACTCTAGCAAGCCCGCTAGCCCTGGATCCCTAGATTACTAACCTCTTCTGTGTCTAGCAGTTAAACAGAATTGGGTCGCCTGACACTAAATATACTGGAATATTATTGGATTTGCTTTTAATAAACCTTTTGCATAAGATATTGTTGAATTCCCTAAAGAACAGAACTAGAACATTTTCAAGCTTACAGGACATTTGACTGTTACAGGGTGCCTGCTTGCTTATCAACATGAATGATGCAGAAATGGGTCAAAGGCTGATTTCAGTGTAAAGAATCACCTGGTGAGGTTGGGGATGGGGGTGGGAGAAGAGCTACAGCCCTCACCCACCTCTACCTCCTGAAGGCTACCAGAACCACCAAATCCCTGCAAGGGACCAAATTGGCCAAGTCCAGTTCACAACAATTTTCTTTAATGGAAGAAATAGAAATTCCTTATAGATATAATAAAATTAATCCAGGCAGCATCTATAGTTGAATAGGCTTGCTGATAGCAGTTTCTGGCTTATCAGAAGAACTGAAGTCCCTGGTCCTCCTAGAAGGAAGATCTGCAAAGAGTCCAAGGATGAAGAACCTTGTCAGTTAAGCACACGGCTGAACCAGTGGTGGGGGCCCTGGCATTTCTACTTCACACTCTTCCTATTCTTCTTCTGGTTTTCTACCAAAGCTAGCTAGTTTTCCATCTATCCGCCTCTCCCTGGGAGTTCAATAAAGGTGGGACAGACCAAACAGAGTGATCGGTGTATCAAAGAACTAAGGTGAAGGTGTTAGAGAGAAGTTTGTGCCCAAATTATTTTGAACCAACTGGGATGGAGTGGCTTTAATTATTTGATTGTTTTTGCAGCTATGGTTATCTAACAGATATAAGTCTTTCTGAGCATTTTGAGAAGTTCAAAAACCAAGTAAAAATGAGCATTTGTGCTTCCTTTCATTTTAATAAATGTTTTTTATGGGTTTTTTTCTTATGTATTTTCTTAGACCTCCATTCAAAAACAATCAGGAAAATGTATTCTCTTAACTCCTCTCCCCAGAAGCAGATTTTAAAGAAGTAACAGCTGGTTGGTGACTAGCATGGTCTGTGGGTGTGCAGCATAGGAGTGTGAGCCTTTCCATCCCCACAGGGGCTCCTGGAAAGGGGATGACACAGGAGTTTGGTCCTAGTCTGTGAAGGGATTCATGTAGGGGACTTGTCCAGGAATCCTGTCCATATCACAAACTCAATAATGTAGCTGTTATTAGTAGTAATCTGAAAACCAAGAGCACCCCTGGTTATGACAACATGCATTTGCAATTTTAGACAAAGCTTAAGAGGCTAAGCTCCAGATATCAAGCTTTCCATAAGACAAAATAGGTGTTACAGCAAAAGAAAGTATAAGTCCCTCTTGCACTTGGCTATACTCAAATTGGATCAAATGGAAGTTTTCATGTTACCACTTGGTTCTCCCCAGTGCTGGTGAGGGCGCTGGGAGTTTAGGTTCAACATTTAATAATAATAGAGTCATAGGCTTTTTTAGTTTGAAGAGAACTTATAATTTCCCATGTATTATTATCTTGTTTAACTCTCACATTTCTGAGAGGCTGACAGGAAAGGTAAAATCTCCACTTTATGGATAATGGGCAGCCGATGCCCTAGCCAGGTTAGGTGACTTGTTCAGGTTTTCGCAGCCAGAATGGGGGAGGTTGGGAGTAGAATCTGTTCTTTTGGTTCTTGGTAGATGGTCTGTCCTCGACACCCCAGGGAATAAGAGGCTTGAAGGAAGGCTCTATTGTATGTAAAGAATAGTACCACAAGGCCAGCCTAGTGCAGGCAAAGAGTGTACAACGAAAAGCAAAAGTCAATTTTAGACTACTATGGAAGAGCATTTAGGAAATCATCCCCAAAAGATGGACGAAGAAATTGTGCTACCCTTGTGAGTAAATGAGGCCCTAACAGATTTATGAGGAACCAGCTCATTTAGTTTAGAGGGCATTTATTTCTTTAGTATCTACCCTGTGTGTGTTACAGGGAGGTCTATCACAGGTAAGAATTTTATCAGAAAGCATGGACTTCTTCAAACTTAGAAAATATAAGAAGGCCAAGGATAGGAGAACCCTCACAGAAGAGGCAACAAATCACTGCCATTTAAGAATTAATGTCAATTCATATCCCATTATGCCAGGCCAATCCTGGACGGCCCAGAGGCTGTACTTTGGCTTGGTGTGCAAAGGTTGGTGACCCTGGAGCCTGGGCTGCCCATGCAACGGGCCACCATGGCTGCAATTCTGAGAGGGAGCATGCACACTCCAACCCCCCCGAAACGTTAAGCTTCGACCTTAAGCGGATAAGCACTCTGGGGATTTCTTTCTGTTTCCGTGTGTTCTAGTAAACCAGTTATGGGAAGAGTATCTAGTATCAGCTGTGGATTATATCACTCACTGACCTTTAAGAGTATAACTTCCAAATTTAAACAGCCATCATCAAGTTGTCTAAGCTCCAAATTTAGAAATCAATGGGCTAATTTTGGATGGCATTTTTTGTTTGAGGGGGCTGGCTGATCAAACCCTTTTAAAGCTCCTTTCTGTTCCACTCAGTGTTCAGAGAGAACAGAAGGGAGACACCAGGATAAACAATTATATAGCTTATCCGACCCATGAAAGGGGCCAACAGCTATAAAATCTACCAGTCTGTTTGAGAACTATTGTAGCTGACAGAGAAGCAAAGAGGATAGTGAACTAGCTGGTTATAAGAGAGGTGTCTACACCACGAAATTTCTTTTCCATAACTACATCAAAATGTTAAAAATTTTATAGTGGGTTCTTCTTGGTAGGGAGGGCTCTGAAGACAGGCCAAAAGGCACTGAAAACCCAGCCCTTCCAAATCTAGTGCAAATGAAGACCTCTTTACTACCCCCTCCAAGGTCCAAGATAAGTTTTTGTGATTCTAATTCATCAACCCACTTCCCAGCAGGACCCTAGAAACCATCCCTAGTGTGTAAGGCATTTTTAAAGCTTTCTAAAGGAGGTGACATACCACCATCTCTTCCTTTGTAACATCTAGTATTTATAAAAACACTTTATTCTCAAGGAGAACTCCAACCACAGCCATCTTTCTGCTGGGAAACAATTGCAAGGATTCCTCCACCTTCAGCTACACTAAAATTCACTGATGGGATTCCAGGTAATAATCAAATATGTTCTTTCCATGCCATCTTGCAACAAAGGGCAGTAAACTCTGAGGTAGCGCAGTGATACAGCAAGGAGGGTCCTTGGGATTTACCCTTGAATTCCATATAACCCTAGAGCCTTTTCAATTGCTAAAGTGCTGAGTTAGAGTTTAAGCATCTTTTCTCCTAGAACTGTCAGTCCCCCAGGCAATAGGGGCAGACTGCCTGACTACTGTGGAACCACCTGGAAAACTTGCCTGAAAGAGTGTGGCACTAAAACAAGGGAACACACACACGAGCCGGAACCGGAGCCGGCACAACATGAATCACAAGGTATCTTTGGTATCTCATTAGAAATCTAGGTCCATATTCTCCTGTCCCCGCTGAAACTTAGGGTGGAAACGTGTACTCTTTTATTAGTACTTATGTCATTCTTTCCTAATATACGACAAGTCTGCAGTGTTTTTCATACCTCTCATCTTCCAGAACACACGGTAAAACAATGCCTTCCTTAAGATGTGAGGAGAGTGATCAACATTTGCGCGGGTACCTGGGCCCCCTCCCCTGCTCACCCCCCTATAATTACTACCTTCAATCTCAGTGAGGCTACGTTGGCAAAGGGGACGGAGAAAACTCAAGACAGATATTTGCAGGCACCAAAATGTTGCACTGGTAAGTCAGTCACTATATTATTTGCTTTTTAGCATCCCTTGACTCTTGTTCTTGACTAGGTAAAAGAGGGTGGGGGGATAAAGGACAACATGAGGGTTTAGCATATATGCCATACTGAAGTGGCACTTAAAAAAAAAAATTCACATTTTCTACCTGGCTTTTAAGAGCAGGAGTTATTTCATGGTGATTTTCCAGCAGGCTTTTCTGAGGTAGATAAAACAGGGAGGAGAAGTAGTCTGAAGAAGCAGAGGGTGGCCAAAGCCTGTGTGGTTAGGATTAGTTTGAAAGGAATTTCAGAAGTGAAAGCTGAGCTTGTCATATGCAATACTACAGAAAAGAGGGACAGGGCTCAAGGCTATCCACCACTTAGCCAAGGCTTTTAGAATTTCATAGGTGGGAAATAGGCTAATCTGGCTAGGAAAGAACAGAACTGTGGGAACAACAGAGTGAGAGCAGAACCTTGGTGAGCACGCAGCTAATCGAGCCTAGGCAGAGAACGGCACAAAACATGTATCCCTCCGACCTTAGTGATCACGAAAGAACACCGATTACAGTTATCACAAGACTTTAAAAGCAACCAACAGGCTTGAGGGCTTCAGCTGCTTTTTGTTCTTGTTGTTGTTGTTTTGGATAAAGAGCAAATTTTGCCTCTTTCCTCAGGCCTCCCGTTTGCACAGGTACTGTAATTGCATTAAGCATGTCAGGGAAAGCCAAATCCCGATGAAATAATTAGTGGGATGGATTCTGAACTCCTTTTTCTGCTCATTTGAGTTACAGCTGAACAGGCTGGCCTTCCTAAGCCCCAGCAAGGTTAACATTCCCAGCCGGGGCCTTTCTTTCTGGAGAATCACTGCTGCTATCACAGGCAGATGCTCTACATTTAAATGAACGGGCCGTTGTGGGCCAAATGTTAGTAGTTAAACGCTACCGTCACAGAGACAGACAAAGCTATTGTCAAGTTCCCAGACACACCTGGTGGCTAAGAAACTTGAGGAAGGAAAGAAATTTGCTATTGGCTCCAAGCCATTCATCACGACTTCTGATACAGGTAAACTGGGATTATTTTATACGAGAGAATAAAATCATAACCATTGGCCTCAGTTTCTTTCCCCAGTCTAAGATTAAACATTTGTCAGGAGGACATACACTGGAAAGAGGGAAATCACACGTAGTGTTCTCGTGGGTTGATGTAGACGCTCTCGGGCTCGTTGCTTTCATGATGTTTGCCAGGACTCCGGTCTTGGTAGCATATCTGACTGTAAAGGGGGTACAGCTGCTGAATCCCATCTTCCCCCGTGGAATTCTCATCTTCATAGTCCAATCTCCTGCTATTTAGTCCATTCTAAAAATTCAAATATTGCTTACATTAACAGAGCAGCTGTTTGCATTTTTCTAGCACTTTGGTAAAAACAGGCAAGAATTGAATTCATTACAGTCTGTGTCTCTGATTCATTATCCCACAAGCTACTGAAAGGCAAGGTAAAGTCCAACAACTTACCATTTTCCAGTCCTGCATTGCTTACAATACCTGAATAAGAGTCGCAGCAGCTCCTAAATAGAAAGTTATGACTAACGGGAACTATAGTCAATTTCAGGTTTCAAAATTTGGAACTGGTATCGGTTAAACTAGGGAAGAACAAGGCTGTGAACTTCCGGAATCCCTCGGCAAGCCTCAAGCTTGGAATGTGTGCATGAAATATACAGAGAATTACGTCCAACAGCCAAAACAAAACCAAAAGAAACCTCAGGATTCAGTGCTGGGGAATTAGGGAAAAGACAGTGAAATGAACTTGTATTTGACCATATGCCCAACGTAACTGAGAATCAGAAACGCTGTCAGAGCTGACACCATCAAATGAACCCCCATGATGCTCTGTGGTGTCTCTGGTACTGACCCCTCTACCCGGTTACTGGTTTCATAAAACTCAATTACTTCTAAGATGGGCAAGCAAGCTCAAGGACTTTACAAAATCATACTATGCATGCTCAGATAGCAGAGAGGTGAAAAAAATAATTTTCATGGAAATCAAGTGATATTCTAATAAGTATGGTAGCCACCAGCTCCCCCTGGGCAGACCCCCGCAGCAGGACCACGTTACTTACAGAGTGCTGGAGACCGCCAACCTCTCTTTCTTTGAACTGAGTCTGCAAAGGCAAGTGTTCGGTCTGGAGGAAGAAGAAGGAACAAGACATGCACTTTAAAGCACCAAACACATGGTGAAATATATCAATCAAGACCATGAAGATGGCTATTTTTAAAAGAGCCTTTCATGTCTTGTCAAATGTATGCCAACTAAGCAATGTTCCATTTGAGGAGGGGATAAATAAATACATTTCTTGAGTTTGTCTCTCTCTCTCCTAACTCCAGACTTCTGGAAGGAAGAAAACATACAGAGCATCTGCTGCAGAACCTCTCATGCAAACTTATTTACATCTTACCTGAGGGAGGACTTATCTTTTCTGCAGAAGAATCTGATACTTTGAATCAGCTAAAAGTGATTTGGGGGTGGTAATGAAAAGTTATTTTTGTCCTTATCTATGGTCACCCTTTTCTTCCTGATACCTACTCCCTGCCTCCCACCCCCTCACAGATCATAAAGGGGATTCCTCATTTTTTTTTTTTAAAGATTTTATTTATTTATTTGAGAGAGAGAGAATGAGAGACAGAGAGCATGAGAGGGAGGAGGGTCAGAGGGAGAAGCAGACTCCCTGCCGAGCAGGGAGCCCGATGCGGGATTCGATCCCGGGACTCCAGGATCATGACCTGAGCCGAAGGCAGTCGCTTAACCAACTGAGCCACCCAGGCGCCCAAGGGGATTCCTCATTTTCAAACCTCACCCTAGGAAGAATCCTTCTCAGCTTCCCCTTGGCTTATAAATGCATTCTTACCCTTCAGCCCCCTGGTCAAATATTAGCTCTTCCAAGAAGCCTTGCATAAAGCATATATTATTATTGCAATTATTTGTTTATATTTGTTTGTCTCCTTCACTAGGATTGAGGGTGCTAGTTGGAGTATTTTACAAACATTACCTCCTTTGGGCGCCTGGGTGGCTCAGTTGGGTCAGCGACTGCCTTTGGCTCAGGTCATGATCCTGGAGTCCCTGGATCGAGTCCCGCATCGGGCTCCCTGCTCGGCGGGGAGTCTGCTTCTCCCTCTGACCCTCCCCCCTCTCATGTGCTCTCTCTCTCATTCTCTCTCTCAAATAAATAAATAAAATCTTTAAAAAAAAAAACATTACTTCCTTCATAATCTCTCTAAAAATTCTATAAAACTGATGTTTTTACTTTATGGATGACTAAAACCGAACCTTAGAGTGGTTCCGTAAGGTGTCTCCAGTCACACAGCTGGGGAGTAGTGGATTGTGATTCACACGTGGCTTTGTCTGAATCCTAATCCTATATTCCTATATCCCCTGCCTCTAGCTCAGTGTCTGGAAAATAGATGTTTAATAACTATAACAGAAGAAGGCCCGAAAGTCCCAGCATATAGGCATATCTATCAACATGTTCTCCTTTTCACTTCCTTTCCTCATGCTGTCCTTTTGGCCTGGAAGGTCTGCCCCTTAGTCTCTGACAGTTGAAATACTACCCCATCCATCTTGGCCTGGCTGAAGTCATTTTTTTTTTTTCCTCCTACAAGGCCCATCAAAGTTCATTTCTTTACTCCTAGTAAGTTTTCTTACTGTTCTTGTTTATATCTTTACCATAGCACACACCATTGATCTATCTGACAACATCTGTACCTTTCGACCCTAGTGAAGAGTGAGAGCTTTCCTGGCCCTCCTCTTCCAGCTCCAAACCCTAGCCTGTGGTTCTGCAACAGTAGGAAGTCAACAGTTAACTAATGAATTTACTGAACTCTAAACTATTAATTCTTGGTATCCCATATTAAGGTTATCCAAATTATAAATTATGTCTGACAAATTTGTTCCTCTTGTCACGTTCTGCATGATTCTAGGGTGCTTCCCACATGACCACATGAGATGGACAGTACACACTGGTAAAAGTCCAAGGCAGGGCCAGCCTCATGGAGTGTGACCAGTCACACAGGGCCTTGTGTTTAGAAGGTCCCACTCTGGGGCTTAATGCTCAGTGGTTGTTGCCATCTTAGATTCTGTGTTTTGTAAGTGGTCTTATGAAACAGTGGAGCATGCCTCAGTGACCTGTAGCCTCCACTCAAGGATGTCCTCTCCTGCTGCTTGTGTTTGATTTGGTTCTTGGCCCGCACCCCCTTACCCTGGTGTCCCAGATCCCCCTCGCTTTCCCCTCCCTGTCCCTGTCCAGTGACTGTGCTGTCCTCTGCCCTGGTAGGGGCCCGAGTGCTGGTACAGGGAAGGCTGGGGTCAGGACTGCATGCCCCCCACATCATGGTATTTCTGGCAGGTGATTAGAGGACACGTTTCAGTGAGGACAAGTCTTTCACCCTGATCTAGGACCTGACATCACCGTCCTGACATTGTTAATTTTCAACAAGAGGCCCTGCATTTTCATTTTATGCTGAGCCTCACAAATTATGTGGCTGGTCCTGGTCCAAGGAAAATAGATTTAGGGAAAAAAATACCTAAAACTAAATTGCCATTTTGTTTGCTGTTTTAGATGATCCTGGTTGCTGTTCTCCCCTTCTATCAATACAGGTAACTGAGAAATTATTCAGTGCCCTTCTTCCCACTAGTGGCAGAGTGCAGAAACCAAGGGTGCAGTCAACACTGAAAAGAGACCATGTTCTAGAAATACAGTGATTACAGCCTCAAGAGTTCAAGAAAACATTTGGTTGGAATATGTGCTGTTCTATGTTTACGCTATAAAATTCCAAATGGCAAATTTAATATGACTGGAAAATAAATTACCATCCAGATTTTCCTGAACACTCAGGATAATACTTATATTTGGTCATTGTCAGTGAAACACAGCAACAACCAAAAGCCTTTGGAAGCCAGTGTTCATTGTGGGCAGGATGAACCATTCAGCACCCTGAGTAACAATATAGCCAGTAATAAATTAATAGTGTTCGAGCATTACAGAGGCAAGAAAATCTGTCTATTTCATTTCAATTAAGAGATTTCAAAGAGCCGTGGCTTTATGAGTAATAATAGCATTGCTACATTTGTCTCATAGTAGAAGATATATAATTAGCCAGAAGTGGTACATGTGAAAATAAAGGACAAGAAGAGAGAGTTTCTAGAACTGAGCAGGACACTATGAATAATCTTCACTTGCACTGAATGGATGACAAGCATACTGTGTAAGGTCCTTTTCTCTACCCAATATTGTAAACTATCACAAACAAATCACTATCCCTCATGGGCGCCCATGAATTTTGTAATATAATATTGAACCAAATTCTATGAAAAGAAGTACCACACATCCTAGAGATGGCCCTGCATTAGGGATCAGGGGTTATGGAAAAGCATGCCGCCCTGGCTTCTGCACTGTGCAGCCATCCAATTTCTGACAAGATACATAAGGAATTTCATTTAATCTAATGGTGGGTGGTATACGTGTTCTATTTCTGCACTCCCTAAACTACCTGAAATGTTGAATATCTGACTTTAGGTTAATCATCAGTATATTGCAAAGTGTCTTGCATAATACCTTACTTATGTTTGGTGCTTAATATATATGTACTAAATTAACTTACAATATTTTAACTAATGGATACACAGCATATATTATTCTATTATTCTTACATTTTTTTCCCTAGAAAGCCTTAGGCTACTCTGAATCTCAATACATACTTTGATTTCCTTACTGGCGTGTACTATCTTGTAACAACTTCTATCCATAAGCACTTTCCTCATTTCTTAAGTCATTAGACTTTCTTGCTCTAATGCTTCTTCCTTATAATGACAAGTGATACATTTTTTACTTCTGCTTCCAGTCATGATGGAGAACTAATACCAGACTAGCCCCTCCTGTCATCAAAGATACACCAGAAAACTGGACAAAATACATGAACAACAGCTTTCAGACAGTGGATAACTGTGCTGCACAGGACTGGGATCTCAAGAGACAGAAAAACATATGGTGATCCTATAATAGCCCTGGCAACTATCTGATTTTTCTGCTGATCTGGGAAGAGAAAACCCAAGAAGAGCACAGAACCTTGCTGAGCTGAGGGGACAGAGTTCAGCACTCAGGTAAGCTGAGGTGACTGTAATCTGTGGGACAGGGTATTGAAAAGACGGAAAATCCTCACTGGACATGTGAGACATTCAGTGGAGACCCCAAGGTCATGCTTTAAGAGTAAGGTTAAAATAGCTCTAAGGCAGAGAGTATTCTAGAACAACCCTAACAAAGCTTAAAAACAAGCTTCCAGAAGAACAAGTTGATCTTAAATTAACGGAGTGACAAAAAACAACTCGATCCTCATTAAGGAATGACAGCAAAATTCAAATAATTGACAGGATAACATTCACAATGTCCAGCATCCAATTAAAATGTACTGAACATGGAAAAAAACAAACAAACAAAAAACAGGGAAAAAATAAGTCAGTAGAACCGAACCCAAAAGTGACAAATAGGGAATTAATAGACAAGAACTTTATAACACTTACTATAAATACGGGTAAGGATGTAAAAATTATGAACAGAATAGGAGAATCAAAAACTATGAAAGAACTGAAAAGAATTTCTAGGACTGAAAAAATACAATATCTGAATTGAAAAAGTCACTGCAGGGTCTTAATAGACACCACAAAAGAAAAGCCCAATGCATTTGAAGACAGAAACTATCCATACAAAGAACAGATGGGAAAAAAGCTTAAAAAGAAAAATTAAATATAGCTTTAGTGATCTGTGGAATAATATAAAGAGATCTACCATTTGTCGATAACTGGAATCACAGAAGGAAGGCAAGTCAGGAAAAAATATTTGAAGAATTGCTAAAATTTTCCAAATTAGATGAAAAATACATCAATAACTCTAAGAAGCTCAATGAACTCCACTAAGGGTAAACATAAAGGAAACTACTTCGATACATGTCAAACTTGAACTGCTGAAAACAATAATAAAGAAAATCTAAGATGTGGCCAGAGGAAAAAGTAAGATACAGTATGTACAGAGAAATAAAGATAAGAATTACACTGGCCATTCACCAGAAAAAAAATGAACTCAAGCCCAACCATGACAATAAATATATTTAATAAGAATAGACTAAACAGGGCGCC